ATTTTCTTTTGGGATAATAAAAATGGTTTAGAACTAGACAGAAGTGGTGGTTGTACAACACTGTGAAGGAACAAGGGGCAACACAGTAGACCCAACAAGTTCAGAGGGCTACATTGCAGGCCTGACAAGTACAGTGACAGAATGTAACCACACAGGATGGTCTGATCATAATTTCTTAACTGGGTAGGTCATGGAGGGTAGTCATGTCCCAGGCTTATAGCTTCCTTAGAAAAGGTCAATCTTTACCTTAAGCAAGCCCTGTACATTGTTCTTATACATCTAGGATAACATACCTTTGAAATGTCGGAGTAATTTTTTTTCCAGACCCCTTGAAGGCACAAGCACTGGCACCAAAGTACAAGGCCATTAGAGCATGAGACCAGGAAACTACTCATTGTTATCTTGTTGTGACACATCATCTCTATTTATTGTAAATGTTAATTGTTAACTCTCCTGTACCCACCTATGTAAAATAACTATATGTTTCTCCATTTTGCCTTTAATTCATCCTAGAGGTTTCTCTGCTTTGCTTTCTCCCGCCTGCTTATTCTACTACCAATGGGTTTCATGTAACCTTCTTTATGTTTTCACCTTTGATTCTAAATATATAAAACAAACCTTAAAACTTCCATTCTCCACAGCATTTTCTCAATCTGTTGAGATATTGTTTCTAGGCATGTCTTCAGACTTGGCTCAAATAAACTCTTATAAAACTTTTCTGTAGGTTTGGAAGTTCTCAAGTTGACAATATATTAATGTAGTAAACACCAATGTATTGTTTACTCTCAATTAAAAAAAATACATCACTACAAATGACCCAAAATATTAAAAGATAAGCATTATAAACAAATTCATGATAATAAATTTGACAGCTAAAATGAAATACATACAAAATGTATCTGCATTGAGTCCCTTTATGTAAAATTTGTGTACATATATATGTGTGCACTAATGACTAATTAGTTCCAAGTTATTCGAAAGAGTGGTTATACCAATTTACATGCTCAGAAACAATATATGAGAATATTGGTTGCATACCCCCAAATTCAGAAATAATTAGCAAAGCACACGTTTGCCTCAGCATTTACATTTCCAAAAACATTGTTCTGCAGGACAATTTTCACACATATGTATGAAGAGGAAGAAAGAAGGTCTTGCATTTGCACAGCAGCATGGGCCCAAGGGAATTGAGGAAATCAGCAGGAGAACAAGTAGCTGGAAGACTGTGGCATATGTGCTGGCTAGGGAGGGAGGCCAGGATGTGGAAGCCTGCTGAAGTAGAGGGAGGAAGTAAAAGGGCCATGCGATGGGTTCCATGGCCTGCCCCTGCCCACGAGAGAACTCATTGTTATCTTGTTGTGACATACCATCTCTATTTATTGTAAATGTTAATTGTTAACTCTCCTGTACCCACCTATGTAAAATAACTGTGTGTTTCTCCATTTTGCCTGAGTTGAGCCAGAGTTGAGGATAGCCTGAGTTGAGCCAGACACTGTAATTACTCACTAACTTGTAAGACTACCTCTATTCCTCACAATGTAGCTGAGAATTGTGCACTGTGGTCTCTGTTCTCTAGGTGAGAAGGCTGAGACTTGTCTTTGATTACTCAGGCAGTACATAAAATAACATAAAATTATTTCTTGTGTAATGGCAGTTATCTCCCTAGTCAATATTTTTAAGAAATTCACGCAACAATATATAAATCCCTGATGTAAATGCACAAAAAGAACTGAAAAGTAGCAACTGTTAGGAAATAACTTATTTGAAATGTGAAAATAGAGGTACAATCTGTAAACTGGTGGTACCTCACCTGTGTCATCATTTATAGGACTGTAATGTAAATTTGGTTTGTTATTGCTATTATTTTAGTTTCAAAAATTATGCCTACTTGTTGTCTAAATTGCAAACACTACAGAATTGTGGAGAATAAATTGTGCTAGTGCCCCCTTCAACTCTCACCTGCAATTCTGAACTACTAATTGCAGGTCAATGAGACAGTCCCACAGGAGTGACCATAAGGTGAAATTCCATGTTATTGTTGTTTGTTTGGAAGTGAAAACAAATGGCTGAATTCCCTCAAGCACATAGACATGAATAACTGGTGTCAGCTCTCTGAGAAATGCACTGGGAAGACAGGCTGATACTCTCTCACTCTCAGGTGCTGAAGTGAGATCCCACCTACAGTGCACCTTCAAAAATGGGGAGGAGGCTATATAGTGGATGGATAAAAAGACAAAAACAAACATGGTGAGAGAAGTGAAAAGGCCCATTTCCCATTACCTGTGTGCAAATTGTGAACTTGTTCACAGTATTATCTTTGAAAACATTCAGATGATTAGGAAGAAGTAAAATATATGAGTCCCCGCTTCCTTCCTTCCACAGCCCTCACTATGCAGTGAGAATGTCTGGCAAAACCTCTTTGTTCCAGGTCCCATGCCTGCTTCTGCAGGCTTCCAGGTAGAGCATCTAACTAAGTCACACTGTCTCCAAAGGCCAATCTCTGGAAGCACCATGTTTCCATTCTCATCAGAATGTATTGACAGCTACCATGGAGTCAAGACTGATGTATCTGCTAGAGACTGCCAGAGCAAATGGGGGAGTTGGGGATGGAGAGGGCAGGCCCTTCAGTCCCAAACCGATTGGCTCATGGTTGGGCAGAAAAACAGTGATCCAAGACATACAACATACAATGTGTAACAGCATTCTTTATTATGAAAAATAAAACCCAACAACAACAGCAGTGATTGTGAGTGGGGAAAATAAACAAAATAAATGGCACTTGTTAAGTTACATGACCTATAAGGTAAGTTTGGCTTCTTGGTCAACCAGGCCTCCAGCCCCAGTCATGGGTATGGCCTTAGGCTGGAGAAGAGAATCCAGAATGATGGGGATGAAGACAAAGATGACATGCAAGGGCTCTTTTTAAGGGGTTTGTTTGAAGGCCTCCTCTTGGCTCTTGCCCTCGGTCTGGAGAGGAGGAGTTGGGGTGTCAGAAGAGCCAGCTCCCTGGGTTTTATTCCAGGGCACCAGCTTCCAACATCTTGGCCTTCCAAAAGGCCCAGAAACATCCATCTTTAACCCACCTTGAACCCAGACCTCACCTTGAACATAGTGAAGACCTGAGCAGCTCTGGTGTGGTTCCACTCGTTGTCCTGAAGGCACCTGAAGTAAGAGAAGAACAGCTGGATTCCATTAGCACCACAGTACAGACACACTGACCATGCAATGCCACCACAAAATCTATGCTAGGACACATGTACCAAAATAAGCACTATTTGTAATGAGGAAGAAAGAACTAGTGAAAACCAAAATGTCTGTCACTAGCCTTCACGTCTACTAGAATTCAAAGCAGAAAAATAAGGATGTTCAAAACAACAAGGGAGCTTAATATATATTGATAAAGATGTTCAAGAAAATAACAAATGGTGATATCTCATTGTTTTAATTTGCCTCTCTCTGATGATTAGTGATGATGAGCATTTTTTCATATGTCTCTTAGCCATTTGTATGTCCTGTTTGAAGAGGTGTCTATTTAGTTCCCCTGCCCACTTTTTAATTGGGTTCTTTGTCTTCCTTTTGTTGAGTTGTATGAGCACTTCATATATATTGGAAATTAACCCCTTAGCTGATCTATCATTGGCAATTATTCTCTCCCATACAGTGGGTTGCCTTTCCATTTTGATGATTGTATCTTTTGTGGTAGAGAAGGTTTTGAGTTTGATGTAGTCCCATGTGTTCATTTTCTCCTTTCTTTCTGTTGCCTTAGGTGATGTGTCAGTGAAAATTCTGCTGCATATAATGTCTGAAATTTTGTTGCCTGCCTGTTCTTCTAGGATTTTATGGATTCATGAGTCATATTTAAGTATTTTATCCATTTTGAGTTCATTCTTGTGTATGGTGTAAGTTGATGGTCTAGTTTCATTTTTGTGCATGTACTGTCCAATTTTCCCAACACCATTTATTAAAAAGAGGCTGTCTTTACTCCACTGTATGCTCTTTCAGAATGGCTGCCATCAACAAATCATCAAACAAGAAGTGTTGGAGAGGGTGTGGAGAAAAGGGGACTCTAGTACACTGCTGGTGGGAATGCAGACTGGTGCAGCCACCATGGAAAACAATATGGTATTACCTCAAAAAATTAAAAATGGAACTGCCATTTGACCCAGTAATCTAAGAATATACCCTAAGAAGCCTGAAACACCAATCAGAAAGAATATATGTACCCCCATGTTCGTAGCACCACTATTTACAATAGCTAAGATCTGGAAACAGCCCAAATGTCCATCAGTAGACAAATGGATAAGAAAGTCGTGGTACATATACACAATAGAGTACTATGCAGCTGTAAGAAAGAAAGATTTCTTATCCTTTGAGACAACATGGAGGGACCTGGAAAGTATCATCCAAGTGAAACAAGCCAAACAGAGAAAGACAAGTATCATATGATCTCACTTATTTGTGGAATATAATGAACATAACAGTCTGAGGAATGGGGTAGTCCCAGAGACATGGAAGTGGGGTACAGAATGACAATCCCCAGAAGAGGGGGTGGTGGGGGAGAGATAAACCACAGAACTTCTATGCATGTATGCATGAACAATGGACATGGACAACAAAGCTGGGGACAGAGCAGGGAGGGAGGGGGAGGGAGGAATCAGTGGGGAAAAAGGAGAAACATCTGTAACAAAAATAAGTTATTTAATTAATAAAAAAACAAAACTAACAAATGGGCCTGGCTGGTGTGGCTCAGTGGTTGAGCATCAACCCATGTACCAAGAGGTCGCTAGTTTGATTCCTGGTTAGGGCACATGCCCAGATTGTGGGACCAATTCCCATTGGGGGGGCATGCAGGAGCCGGCCAATCAATGTTCTCTCTCATCGATGTTTCTATCTGTCTCTCCCTCTCCATTCCTCTCTGTCTAAAATTAATGAAGAAACAAATATTTTTTAATTTCCCAGGATTTGATCTTGGGTGTTCTCCCCCATTTCTCTCCTGAGATGTTTTCTATCACTCCACAGAGTAACATGAAGATGGCCTTCATTATGCCATTGCACTCTCATCTTGTCATGTCCCATGGTATAGGGAGTGCTGCAGGGAGGAGTGGAGAGAAAAAGGTTGGCCATAAATGTGAAGAGAGTCTTCTATACATCCTTGCTTCTCTGACACCAGGACTATAATTAGGAATGATCAACCATGATTCCACTTCTAGCATTCTTCGGTTTTCTAGTGAGAGATAAAAGAAGAAAAGAAAAGAAAACTATGAACAGTGAGAGAGTTGCACAGTCCATTGGCTGCTACATGCAACCCAGGCTGCCTAGTCACTTACTGCCTTGCTTGGTACTTCTGAACTCCCCTCATCTCCATGTTTCCATCATCTTTATGGAGGTGTGAAGGCTTAAGCTCATATCCACCATTTTAATAGCAATGGGTCCTGTTGCCAAAATTACCTCAGAGAGAACTGCAACCTTTCTTTCTTCCTTGAGGTGAGCTATCACTATCATTGTCCTCTGAAACAAAGAACAAAAATACAAGTTTGGAGACTTGTCTGTGTCCACTTACCACTTAGCATGTCTTAGGCTAACACCATGGTAGAGCAACAAAGTGCCAATCTGCCCTAAGAGACCAATCCCACAACCCCAGAAAAGAAATACCTCTGTCCAGATAGAAGAGCGTTATCTGACAGATGGTGCTATCAGGGGGAAATGGTGCAGGATAAGGAAGGGGGAGCAACAGGAGGAGGAAGACAGGAAAGGAGAGAGGAAGGAGATAACTGTGGAACCTTTTACAAAATGGAGCAGGATTTACAACGAACAGAGGTGTATGAGTCCGTGGGTTAGACTGGATGCCAGCCATACATCAGGAAGGCATGTGAATCTTTTCTCTTTCAGGGCTCTCTAACAACCCCACCAACACATCCGAAGCAACCTTCTCATACTTCCCAAACCCAGTCAGCCAGCACACCAATTCCACTGAGTACTCAGCCACTTGTGCTTCCTTTGCCGGTGTGGTACAAGCTTTCATGTCAGATGGAATGGAGGCAACAGCTTCCTAAACTGTCCCCCTTCCTTCTGACTTGCCCCTAACAATAGTCTATTTGACATATCCAGAGTGAGCTTTCTCTTGCCCAGTCTGAAATGCCTTTGAGTTCAGGAGATAGCTCTTTCTAACCTCAGCTCTTGTGTAACAAGGGTCTGGACGACAAACTGGAATGATGTTTCAGAAACAATTTCCAAATCACTGGGTATTTTTCTTTTTTCTTTCAATTATTGATCCCTCTATGGTTAGAGAACATACTCTCTGTGATTTCAATTATTTTTAAACTTGTGGAGGTTTATTTGATGGCACAGGGTTCACCTGTCTTGGTGACTATTACAATAACACCTGAAAAATACTATATTGTGCTGCTGTTGGGTGGAGTGTTCAATTTGTCATGTAGAACCTATCAATTTATTGTGTTCATCTGATCTCCTCAATGCTGATTTTCTCTCTAGCAATTCTATCACCTGCTGAGAGGGGGTCTTGAAGGCCCCAACTCTCATTGTGGACTTGGCTATGTCTCCTTTCAGTTCCATCAGTTTTTGCTTTGTGTACCTTTTGGCTCTGTTGTTTGGTGCATACACACTAGGTCCCTCATGTCTCCCTGGTAGATTGATCCTTTTATCAGTGTGTATGCCTCTCTTTAATAAGTCTCTTGCAAATTGTCTACTATATTGCAAATTGTAGCCACAGGTATGCTCACAGAGTGCCTTGGCTATATTGCATTCTACATTCACCCCTAGGAGTTGTGTTACTGTCTACCTCTCCCCCGCAAGACCCTCCCACAAACATTTGTAGTTCACCATGTGGAAGGATTTGGCAGTTTTTCTTGGCATCTACAGAAATTAGGTAGTCTCCATTCTCTCTCTCTCATAGGTGGAGTCACTAAGAGTATTTTATGCTTACAACATTCAACTGAAACACTGTACCAGCAGACAATAACACGGGTGGTTTGAGGGGACAGGAAGATTACGAGAATTAGATTGTTAAAACCAGACTCCTTTGGGGTCTCATATTTAATGTTCTCTCTATGTGTGTGTTGTACATTTTGTACATTAATTATTCTATGTTGACTCAGGGCCACTTATGAGTAAAAATCCATTCCTTCACTGCTGATCATTCTACAATGTACTAAAGGCAGCCAGGCCTCAGATTTACTCCTCTGGAGAGTTTTTGCTGTCAGTGTGTGGCCCACTGTCAGGACAATCCTGTAACTCACAGCTTTTGAGAACTACCCTGTGTGGCAGTGAAAGTAAAATTGAACATGGCCAGAGCATCTGATCCAGAAATATCACTCACTCAGTCCCCAAAACTTGGAGGATGCCTGGAGTGCTCTCTCTCTCACACATGCCACATCCCAGTGATCAGGAAATACTCTAGGCCCCTCTCCCAAAATCTGTCCAGATCTATCCACTTATCAACAGCTCCATTATTACCACTCTGGCCAGGACAGATGGGGAGGAGGCAAGGATGAAAGCAGAGAGACCAGTTGGAAGGCAGCATAATCCAGGACATCCATGTTGGTGCCTTGAACAGAGCGTAGGTCCCATCACTTCACTCTGCTCAAAACCATATAACAATGCTTTGAAACTGAACACATGGTAAATAGCCATGACTTCATAATGCTGGTAAACAACTATAACAACAACAAAGAGGCACCTTATTGGTGACCTTTGATGAATGCTAGGAAGTCAACTCACTCTCATGAAAATCCATCTGTGGAAGGAAAAAAAAAATCAAAAATTAAAGAGAGGAGAAATGGCAGGACATCAGTGTATGGTGTATGGGAAGAGCCCGAGCCATTTTCAAGAGCTGACATTACTTCAGAAAGAGCATTGCTGAGGGAAAAGTGTAAAAGTGAGCCAGCTAATAGCTTCAGCAATGCCCAGACCAACCAACTAAGTATTTCTGGTGCCTGAAGAGGGCCAGAGTCTTCCCTCATCAAGGTAATTGAAACACAGGTGAGCGCAGGCATTGGCTATGTTTGGGAATTTCTCAGGAGAGTGAGCATATGATATAAGCTACAGAGGGGCACCCCGTACCCAAACACCCACAGACACACACACCCACAACCATTTACTGAACATTTGCATATTAGCACCATCCCTGTCTCACAGTCTTGCTACCAGAATCAAAAGTGATGAGGTATTATAAACCAGCTAGTGCCTCTCACCCAGGCTGCCCGGTTTCCTCCTCAAGCACCACCAGGTATTAGCTGATCTTCCCACAAAGAAATAGTTGTGAGTATCCTTTAAGACATCATGTGTGTATGTATGGTACTTCCTGTGTCATTTTGGAATTCTGCCTACATCATTGCTATGCCACTGAGTTCATGGCACGGCATCCCTGCCATAGTAGGGAAGGAATGCTGTGAGAAGGAAACCCACACTTGCCCAGCAGCAACCAACATTTGCTCAGTGTTGGGCAGACTCACTAGATTTCCTTGGCCTCCTCAACAGAAGCTCCATGGCAACATATTCATGGTCCCTTTTCAGATCATAAATATTAGGCTCATAAACGTTAATTACAATTTTCAGGATTTCTCAGCCAAGTAAGTGGCAGAACAGGAATTGTGTCCTTGCATATTGGTATACCTTCTTGTCCTACGTGATTCTTCAGCTACTTCACAGGTTCTCCTTCAATGGTAAGCTTTCAGGTTACAAGGACAGATTAGTGGGAAAACCAGAGATGATGTTTTGTGACCAAGAGCTTAGTCACTCCTGCTTGGGTATATCCCGGTGACTTGGACCAAGTAGAGATATCTGTCTCGGAATAGATTGGGAAATATGTTTGGATTATAGATTTCAGAAAAGAGTCAGTTTGGGCTGTCAATGTCTGGCATATAATAAAGGCTTGATTAATGTTTCTTAAATAAATGTATGTAATATAGACTTGGGATCACCAACCAAACCACTTCACAGCATACATTCATCTCATACATTTCTACCTACCTCTATTTATTCCAGACTATTTTGGGCTGCAGAATTGTTTCATAAGATGCTTTGTAAAACTACCATGAACTGCAAAATTAACATTGTTCTTCAGTGTACAGTTAGAAAGAGCAAAGTCCCTCCAGTGGACTAATAGAAAACTACAGCTTTTCTAATCTCAGGAGGGGAGGCTTTTACAAACAGTGGTGACAGAAATGAGATGATACTTTCCTAGAATGCAGACATAGCTGAACGGAAGTCTGCTGCATGCAGGAAAAAAGTTGTGGAGCACAGCCATGTCCTTGAGTGCTCAGCCTTGTGACAGACAGTATGTCCGGCCTGTGTCTTAGAGGAAGGGAAGAGTGTGTATTAATATCTTATGTTATATGTTTTTATAATTAGGTTATAGATACATGTATTGCAAATCATGTTGGTAAATGCATGGCCACACAAAACTGGATTGTACTGTGTATTTTGTTTTCATGTATTACATATGACCTAATTTTCATTCTTCTTAATATGCCCTTTATTTTTTACATCTTGGTTTTTTAATATTTGAATACATTTTTTAAAAAAGAATTAAAGCAACAGAATTCTCAGTAAACAGTATTCTCAGTAGTGGAAGTCAAAATACCCAGTGAAGCGTGACTTGGGGTTCTGAGCAGTTTCAGGATTTACATCCCTGCTCTAAAGCTTCCCAGAGGAAGCACATGAATACTTTATTTTATTCTTATGTTTTTATTGAGGTAATATTGTTTAATAAATTTACATAGGTTTCAGGTGTATAACACTGTAATTCAATATCTGTATTCACTAGAGTGTGCTCTCCACTGAAAGTCTAATTTCCATTCATCACCATATATTTGACCCCCTTTACCCATTTCACCCTCCCTCCATCCCCCTTCTCCTCTCGTAACCACCAATTGGTTGACTGCATCTATGAGTTTTTATTTTTATTTTTCATTGTTTGTTTATTTGTTTCTTTATTGTTTTATATTCCACATGAGTGAAATCATATGGTTTCTGACCTTTTCCATCTGACTGATTTCATTTAGCTTTATACTCTCAGTGTCCATCCATGTTGTGACAAATGGCAATATTTCATCTTTTTATGGCTGAAGAGTATCCCATTGCATAGACATACTATAACTTCTTCATTCATTCATCCTTTGATTGGCACTTAGGTTGTTTCCATATCTTTGCTATTGTAAATAATGCTGCAATGAACAATGGGGTGCATATAACTCTTTGTGCTAGTGTTTTCATGTCATTTGGATATGAATGAAAACACTAACCTAGAAGAGGAAGCATATGGCAGTTCTTTTCTTAATTTTTGAGGAACTCCATATAATTTCCTATAGTGGCTACACCAATGTACAACCCCACCAACAGTGTACAAGTCCTTTTAGCACGTGAATATTTTACAACGTAAGACATTGTTTCCTAATGATATTTCTACTTATATTCATCTCTCCTAACAATGCACAAAAGCCTAACTTCCTACTATAACATTTCACTATTTGAATTTAATCTATCCAAATTATTCTCTGCCTAAACATATACCTGTAGTTACATAACTGGGATTTACAGGCTCTTTAACAAACATCAAAGATGGGACCAGGGAGTGGCTGATATGTCACAAAGTGAGTGGAGTCGATTGTCTTTAGAATGAGGGATAGATGAGAAAGCAGTGACATGCATACCTGACATACAGAGTGAAAAAGCCAAGGACTGACAGGATGGGTCAGAAAGATGAGGGTGAGAGTAAAACACAAATGGAAAAAGCCTCTGAGGAACTGAATGCATCCTGCCGATATGCATCTCATCTGTCCATTATTTCACCTTCAAGTTGAATACCAGTTCCCACAGAGTCTGAGAAAAGAGAGACAGTACAGGGGAACAGTGTGCAATGATGGGTCTCTTTGTCTGGAGTTCAGGGCATCTTGGTCCCAGACACCATACCCATCATTGCCTAACAGCCTTTGAGTGAGTCCCATCCCTGGGCTCACTTCAGCCCTAACACAGTCACACATCATGGTTCTGGGCATAAGATTTGAAGTCAGCTTGGCCAGGGTTTGAATCCTAATGATACATTCTATGGTCCGGGTCAAGTATCTTTGACCTCATGGTGACTCACATACATTTTTGTCCTTAAACTGAGGACAGCAGTAGTTTCTACTTCATGGAGTAATTGCGAGAATTGAGTTAATACATGGAACTACACTGAAAGCACCTGGAGAAGTGCCCGTGACTTAATAAGCCTCATAAGTAACTTAGTTATTACTAGATCAGGTACTTAGCACAATGTCTGGTGTTTAGTAAGGGAAGAAGATGTGTTAATTGTATTCATTGTTACACGTCCCCTGGAAAATGAGAAGGAAACAGATGTGTGTGTGGAAGAAGGTTCTGGTGTTAGCTGTGAACATTTGACATGATTTAACAGCCTTTCATAATGTAAAAAAATTGCATACACAAGGAATAGAAGGAAACGTCACTAATCAACAGAGAAATGCAAATCAAGATCACAATGTGATATCACCTAGCACCCATTAGGATAGCTACTATAAAATATACAAACAGAAAATAAGAGTTGGCAAGGGAGTGAAGAAATTGGAACCCTTGTGCACTGTTGATGGGAATGAAAAATAGTGTAGCTTTTACAGAAAACATTATGGTGATTCATAAAAAATAGACATGCCCTATGACCCAACAATCCCAGTTCTGGATATATAGTCAAAGGATGGCAAGTCCAGTTTCAAAGAGATATATGCTCACCTGTGTTCACAGCAGCACTATTCACAATATGCAAGAGGTAGAAGCAACTAAAATGTCCATCCATGAATGAATGGATAAACAAATTATGGTAGATACATACAATGAAATTTTATTTAGTCATAATAAAGGAAATCCTGTCATATGTTACAACATGGATGAACTAAGAACATTATGCCAAATAGACCAGACACATGACAAATTCCACGCTTCCACTTATATGAAGTATCTAAAGTAGTCAAATTCATAGAAATGGACAGTTGAATGATGGTTATGAGGAGCTGAGGGGGAAGGGTTGATGGGGAGTTGTTCTTTAATGTATAGACTTTCAGATTTTCAAAATGTTTCACAACAATGCACATATACTAAACAATACTAAATTGTACACTCAAAATGGTTATGATGGTAAATTCCATGTTATGCGCTTTTTTACCATAGTTTTGAAAAACTATACTACAAATATGATTACTCAGAAGAAAATATTAATGAACATCTATGTTTAGGTGTGTAAATACAAACATGAAGAAGTGAGGGAAAAATAACATGTGGGGATGTCAACTGTGTTTACAAACAAGTGGTTGGAATGCAGAATATCTATACTTTCATGTCCATGCTTTACTTGTATAAAAGCCTGGGTTGGGGTTTTGCTAGGTGCTTGGGATGAAGTGCTCACTATTCCTATTGAGGCATTACACAGCATAATAGAAACCATTCAGATCCACCTGTCCTCTCTATGATCAAAAGGCTGCATCACTTTGGACAACTCACGCTACTTTATTTGCTCCCAAAGCACTTATATGTCAAAATCAGAGATTAGGGCTCGCTACCACCTAGATTAACCATATACCTATATAAAGCACATACTACACTCCCAAAGGTTCCCAATTAATCTCTTCATCTCCCAGCTCCATTTAAACCTTGATCCACTTTCTGTCACTATATATTAGTTTTGCATGCTCCAGAATTTCATAAAAGTAACATCATACATCCTATATGCCTTTGTGTTTGTGTATGGATTTTTAAGTCAGTTTAATGTTTTTGAGATCCATACATGTTCTTGCCCTTTTTATTGCTGAGCAATATCCCATTGTATGAATCTGTTTACCTTTGATAATGTTTTAATGAGGTTTCAGGAGGAAGTGAAAGCAGGTAGATCTTTTGTGTTCAAATCAGCCATCTTTTTTTAATAGTCTTCTGTTCTTTTATAATGGATATAATTTTTTCCTTTATTATTCCTTTATCTAGGGAAATATAACTTAAGGCCTTCTACAGCCTCTTCTACTTTTCTGTTCCCTCCGTGAAAATCACTTGATTTGTTGATTTGGTTCTGTCCCTTCCTTGCTTACCCTGGGCTGTGATTATCTCCTGCAGAGGATTGAATCCTCATAGCCCAGTCAGCTCTTGGACTCCTGGGTGCTTGGCTTTAACCCATACCTTGCTCTGGCCTCACCAGTGGATTAGCTTCCTCCATGGCTCCATCACTGGTGGCCCCTGTTTAACTCCGTGTCTTCCCATTTCCTTTCTGTTTCATAAATAGATTATTCCCTCTTTTTTACATGGGAATTATTCTTTCATGTTACCCAGCACAGCTTATACATAAAATTATTGAAATATCATACATTAATTATTGGAATGTTATTATTCTAAAACCACAAGTATAAAATTTTCAAATTAAATACAGTGCCATGTTTGTAGTCTGAACAATGAAAATTTTAAGGTAGTTCTCAAACTTGTTGAAACAATTTGGCCACATGAGGAGATTGAAATAATCACTAGCATCAGTCTACACCCACAACACTTAAAGTAGAATAGGAGTCAGACCCAGGCAAAAGCATTTTTAAACTCTCCACATGACTACAGTTTGCAACTAAGGTTGAAAACCACTCTGCTAAAATATCAACTTTTGGTTTATGCTTGCCAGAAGTTCCTAGGAATGGCTGCCATCTCATTTTGCTGACTTTCCACTCAGTGATGTTTTGGGGCACTAGTGATTCCATAAGCTTAGATCAGGTACTGGCAAACTATGGCCCATGGGCCAAATCTGGTCTGTGGCCTGTTTTTGTGGAGCCTGTGAGATAAGAATGTTTTTTGTCTGTTTGTTTGTTTTACATATTTGAGTTGTTGAAAACTCAAAAGAATATTTCTTGGCAAGTAAAAATTATTTGAAATTCCGATGTCAGCATCCATACATCAAGTTTTACTGCAACTTAGCCATACTGTTTCTATTGTGGCTTTCATTCTGCAATAGCAGAGTTGAATACTTACTACAGAGACTAAATGACCCACACAGCCTCACATATTTAGGATCTGGCCCTTTCCAGACAAAGTTTGTTCATCTCTGGCTTAGAGTTAGTGTCCTTAATCAAGTGCATAGTAACTCTGGTAAATATCTGATAGTCCCTTTGGCAAAGCCCAGGAAGATTTATGACAGTCACTTGTGACTTCATTGTAGGGTCTTTCCTCAGTAGCCCATTTGTTCATGGTTTTGTGTGTCAGGTGTGATAATTGAATCAAGGACCATCATTTGCCCTCAACATGGCTCAAGTCCCCAGATCTTCAATTTATGTATTTTCTATTTTCTCATATTTTATTATAATTATATTTTATTTATCTTTACACTGATCAAATGCAACTTTGAAGAATGTTTAGATATTTCAAGATCCAAGGGATCTCTTGATCAATAAGCCACCTTCAAAGTTACTGTAGCTCAAACCAGTGTCACTACCTTTCCATCCTTGCTACCTATTAAAGTAAACAGCACTCATCTGGACGTGGGAGGTTAAGTGCTTCTACCTCGCCTGTGACTGCAGTATTCTACCATCCCCAATGAAATAAGGGGGCCACGTCAATGGCAGTTTCTTCCATCTAATCTGAGGCCTACTACACATGTCAGCTACTTCAGAACGCTTCAAAATGAAGATATTCGCCTTGTCAATACATTCCCCAATGCTGTGGGGAAAGGAGTGGCCTCTGGGTCCCTAAGAGCAGCTACTTGGTCCACCCAAAATTGAGTTCCAAGGCTTTTCAATTCAAGTGTCCACAGGTGATAACTTTGGCAATTGTTTTAGCACTGCCTGCATTGGAATGCCAATATTCCATCCTCCAACGTCAACTGGACCCTTACTATCTTCAGATCTGTGTAGGTCAGATAACCTATTCTGTATCCCCATTTCCTTTGGGGCCCTTGGCTTGCAACCAATTTTGGTGTCAAGTACTCTGTTAATCAAGCTTCCCATTTGTTTCTAGCTATTTTATAAAAATAAGATATACTTAATAAAATATATAGCAGAGCATACAAAAACTCTTTGAGGGCCAGATAAGTAGGTTTGGAGGCTGCATATCCAGGGGAGGCTCACACAGGCTATGGGACTGCTATAGCTGGAACATCACTACTGCCTGTCCAGCACTTGACATGTATGACAGACATTGAATTCTAGAAATGCTGCTATAGCTATACCATAAAATCAGAGGCCTCTCCCATCATACATAGTGGAACCTCCTGTGGCTCCCACATTATTCATTTCCACCTCCAAGTCTCACTATGATGCATGTGCTTCATACAGAGAGATCTGTTTGGGACCCTAGATGCAAGGGACTTCAGTACACATAGACACACACATACCCACATATGCTCACATAAGTCTCTAATCTTGTTTTAAGCTTTCCACTCTCTATAGTGCAGGAAATCATATGAGTGTTCACTAGTGTTGGACTACTTTCCAAGTTACCAAATGCAGAGTTATAGTTCACATCATGAGTTTTGTTTTTCTTTTTGCTATTGCTAATGGTATGTTCATAATAAAAATGTTCTTTTCTATTTGTTGCAATTATTTTGTATATATTAGTCTTACATCCAATAAACTTGTTAATCAATAGTATTACAATTTTTATAGAGTCTCAAGTTTTATATGAAGAGAATTACACTCTTGCTTTTCACTTATATACATTTACTTATTTATGTATCTATGTATTTATTTCAGTTTAATGTAATCCCTAGAAATCTCAATAAGAGCTTAAATAAAAGTGATTCTTTACTAGTCACCTTTGCTGCGTCTAAATTAATCTGCAATGTTTTCTTTTTTATATTTATTCATTTATTTTTTAAATTAATTAATTTATTTATTTTTGTTACAGATGCTCCTCTTTTTCTCCCACTGATTCCCCCATCCCTCTCCCTCCTTGCCCTGTCCCCAGCTTTGTTGTCCATGTCCATTGTTCATGCATACATGTATATAAGTTCTGTGGTTTATCTCCCCCCACCCCCTCTTCTGGGGATTATCAGTCTGTACCCCACTTCCACGTCTCTGGGACTATCCCATTCCTCAGACTGTTATGTTCATTATATTTCACAAATAAGTGAGATCATATGATACTTGTCTTCCTCTGTTTGGCTTGCTTCGCTTAGGATAGTACTTTCCAGGTCCCTCCATGTCGTCTCAAAGGCTAAGAGGTCTTTCTTTCTTACAGCTACATAGTACTTCATTATGTATATGTACCACAGCTTTTTTATCCATTTGTCTACTGATGGACACTTGGACTGTTTCCAGATCTTAGCTATTGTAAATAGTGCTGCTACAAACATGGGGCTACATATACCCTAAGAAATCTGCAATGTTTTCAGTGTCTCACTATTATATATGGTGTTCATTGTAGTATTTTTTTTATATATACCTGGTATTAGTTTAAAGAAGTATTTTGGTATTTCTGGTTAGCTGTGAGAGTTATTGGTTATTGGTTATTTAAACTTCATTGGTCACTAAATTTTATAGAATGCTTTTTTTCCCTCTAGAATCTTTGTGATAATCAGCCTTTTTTTTTACTCCATCATATTAATGTGTAATATTCCATTATGAATCTCCTAATGATAAACTAACCTTGCAAGTTTGGAATAAACACACCTCTCTCATGCTGTTCTATCTGATTTAGCCAATACTGCATTTACCTTGCAATTATCTTATCTCCACTTTTTTGCATTTCTATAAATAAGATTGACTAGTAATTTTGTGTTCTCATGCATTATTTCTTAAACATACACTTAATATTAGTATTTATTTCTTCAATATAAAAGGTTGTGTTTTCTTAGAATGTATCCATTGAATATACATTTTCTTTTTTTTTTTTTTTCAAATTAGTAGTATATCTTTTTCATAATATTGTCTTACTTTTCCATTTTTACTGTAAGTGTAAGCAGTATGTCTTTTCCATTCAAAAGTAGCTTATTTGTGCCCTCTAATTTTCTTGACCCATCTTGCCAGAGGTTTATTTTCTTATATTTTGAAAGCACTAACATTTAGAAGTTTATCCAACTTTTTCATATCTGATATAAATTTCTTTAAATTTTGCCCATATTTTTCCTTGACAATATGGAAAGGCATTCCATTATTTTTATTAAGTATATGACAAGCAAACAGCTTTTTCATCTACCATCGAACTTTCTTTTATAACTTTTGTCCCTGAATAACATGGGTATGCAAATGTGCAACATACTTGTTTACTTGAAAAAGACATGGCTTACATGTCCCAGGGATTTAAAGGAAGTTCATCATGTCTATTCAATTCTATTGTTGAAATATGATATGATTAATGGAGATGAAATTGCAGCACTGAAGTAAAAAAGTTTCTGTTATAAATATATATATTAACTTCATTTAAGAAGATAGTATAAATGTAGAAAAAATAGGAGTAGAAAAAGGATGGAGGGAGATTCAAAAATGGTTGCAGAGTAAATGGAAGCTACACAGACCATCTCCCAAGACAAAACTGGAATTACAACTAAAATAAAGAAAAATTGTCAGGAAAAAAAACAAACAAACAGAAAAGCAGCCGGAGAAGACCATATAACCAGAGATAGGAAAAAAGGACACTGAATCGAGCCTGGTAGGTCTGCGAAAGACACCAGAGGGCAAACTGGGAGCCCATGGACAGCAGCTGAATTAGCTGTGAGCAGCTCCCTTGGGTTACAAATCCCAAGCTGGCTCCACAGAGCAGAGGGCTGATACAGAGCACTAAATTAGCTATACTCACTCACATTGGGCTCCAACAGAGGGAGGGCAGACTGGACTGGAACTCTGCGGAGACACTTGGGATGTGGAGGGCACTCAGTTTTTGCTGAGTCTCAGCCACACAGAATGGTAGCCATCTTGCTCCTTCCCAGAAATCTTGGGAGAAGCAGCAGCCCCTTCCTTAAAGATTTAACCCCACCCAGTTGGGCCAGAGAAATGCAAATTGAGGCTCAATAACAACCAGCATCTGCCCCATGCTCGGGAAATCCAACTATGCTGAACACCTGAGGGAGTTTTTCATTCAGCTAAGGGCTACAACACAAGGCTCATCAAGTAACTGAAACTAATACCCTCCAGGCAAAAAGCTACAGGAAAACTGAACCATTCCTGGGCATGCAAATCTACCCAGGAAAGTAAAACTTGACAGTGGTGTTTAACATGCGTCCTCCCACACTCATCCAAACACAGT